ATTGCACGAACATACATCAGCACACGATCCAGTCTGTTGACAGCTAATTGGAGTCTTTCATTCTACCGTTGCCCAACATTTACTACACGTTTTTCTCCTTCGACGCTCATGGGCATGATGGAAATACAGAATCAAGATGGGCAGAGAAAGGCTAGGATAGAAAGTCTGACAAAACTAAACAACCCGTTTACGTAGGCCGCACAAGACGTGGAGACCAGGTCATGCAAGCGGACATCAAATAACATACCTCATATGCTCTGCTGTGCAATGACCGACTCAGATCTTACCTAGACGATAGTGGCATAAAGATCACTTTATAATGGGGTCAATAAGGCTGACTTTCGGTTCGCCAGTCAATCATCACCTATGCACACGCAATACTCAATAGGCAGACTGATTTGTCCAGTCAATTAACGACATTTCAAGCCGCGACGTTTATCCGTCAAGATTTGTGCAGTGTTATATCCGTTGGTACCCGACTGCCAGTCTCACGCAGCAGTGGACTGCCCGAGTCTGTCAGTTAGTTGGTGATGCGATGGGATGCAGTAGATATGTCTGTCACGCTCGTGCTTGTAATCACTTCGTGCGCCAAGTTGGTCAGTTGTACAGTACATGACCGATCTCAATAAATGTCGGAAAAAATTCTCAAATGCGTTTTCGATTAGGAATGGTTAATAAGCTGGCGTTGTAACATTATTTAGCACGTAGCAAAATCCTATGGAATGTCGGACTCGTCAGGATGTTGCCTTTTGAATGCATTTCTTTCTAGCCTTCCGCTGAAACCATTCTAGGTGAAAAACGACTACTTCGGTAGGATATATTTTTTGTACTGATTTTCAATGGCCGTACAAATTCAAAACTAATTTATAAAAAAATGTACAAAATTTGATTTCTTTTGCATGTTTGGTAGAAAACCGCACTGTCTTTATATATAATGCCCCAAATGAAGGTTATCATTCGGTTTTAAAATTGTTTCCAAATATGAGGTTTTTAAGAACGTGCGCTGTCCATACATACAGCATCGCATGTATACTTTTAACAATGTTCCTCATGAAATGTGCAACACAACTCGTATTTATTGCAAAACTTCTTGAACTCTATGTAATGCTTTCTCAAAGACATGGAGTAATATTTGGTTTTCCTTACACGGAACGCATGCAACTTGTAGACTGAAATCGCTAAACGCTAATGCGACGGCTGATCAGATTCAAAATTATTCGCGAATCGGGAAAATTTTTTGAAACCTAAATACACCCTTTTAGAGTAAAATATGTGAAGGCAGTGTGGTCTTCTATCAAACAAGTAAAAGAAGGCATATTTTGTCATATTTTTTATAAAATATATTGTAATTTGTACGACTATCGAAAATCCATATGAAAAATGCGTGCTAAATAAGTAGTCATTTTTTACCGAGTACTGTTACCGTGGGAGGTCAGAAAGAAGTGCATTCGGAAGCCAAAATCCTGACACGTTCGAAGTTCATAAAGTGTACGCTACATGATATTTAATCTTAAAACGCCACCTTATTGATCCTTGCTAATTGAAAACGCATTTTAGAATTTGGGCCAACCTTTCATTAGATCGGTCACGCACTGTACATGCTTCCACTAGCGCGACTGAGGCTTTTCCTCAACTTTTGATAGATGATGTTTAGGTGGGTAACATCCGAGGTGTGATGATGGTCTCTGGACTGAGATGTTTTCACCGCAGATGTTAATAGGGACGCAAAGGACAAAGTATGCTCATCAGTGACTGAATGTTCATGGGCGGATGAGACGGGTAGGATGGGTGTGTGCTGTTGACTCTGCCAGGACTTGGCCATACTCCCTATCCGTTTCATACTTTAGTGGATGCTCTCGAGTTGGTTACGGATTTTTCGTTTATTAAGACATCTTATGACGGCTAAAAGTTCTGTGAGCGTCCGCTACGCCAGAATCAGCAAACCATGGCCCTTGCAGCCTGGTATGTGCTCACAGTTCTATATCACCCCATTTCCTACCGGCAGATTCATATGCGCTCCCGCCGAGTGTACAGGTCGTGAGCACGGCTGTCTAATCATCGCCCTAGTCTTTCTGACTTGTTATGGTGATGTCGTTTTGTGTTAAAATCCTGGACATGCGTTTTTTGTGGACAAGGGGGTGCGCAGACACGCTTCGGTGGGGGTCCGGTCGTGACAGCCGCCTACATACTTCCTCATTTGCGGTCTTCTTGATTATGTCTCAACACGAGCCTAGGTGATAGGACGGCTGAGTGCGGTAGATGCTGTGCAAGTCTAAATTTACTATCAACTAATTCACACACAAGCCGCCTTGCCTGCTCCTCCTTTGGGCATCGTTGGATACAAAAGTCAATCTGTCATGTCATCTACTTGGGGATGGCCAACTCGTCCGCTTAACGTGTCAGAAGACATCAAACACTAACTCCGGCCTCAGCCTCCTTTTGAAGTTTGAGCAAGTTGTCGTTCGTCGTTGTTTTTGTCACGCGTGTGACAGGTACTTATCGGGTCTCAAGAGGTCGGTTTACTTGTCTTTTTGAGATGGATTAACTGACCGATAAGGTCAATTGCGAGATGAAATTGTAATTGTAATAGGGACACGCAGCGATCGTGTTCACATTGCCAGTGCACTGAGGAACACTGGTGGCGGTCGTAATGACGATAGCGTTTGTAGGCCGTACCCGAAACATGTCCATTGGTTACGGGAAGTTGGTGGGCGGCGACATAGCGCAGGACAGCAGTGGAAGCAGAAGGAGACGCTGCTTTGGTAGTACATCGCGTCCGGCGAACGACCTACCTGCGGAATATTCATTGACATCGAGGACCCTGTGAAGATGTTGGATGCTGGAATGTTGGGTCCACTGTGTTTTGTCCATGCGAACACTTTATTTGGCTTTGAACGCGGAGAACCAGTTGGCTTTGTGGACGACCGCCTCGTGATCACTGTTACTTTTCAGGTTAAACGACCATACAAGAAGTCGTTCCATCTTCTTGAATTATGTGTATGTTCTTGAGTAAACTATTCAAGGTGCCCTTGAAGACTATTTTTGTTCTATTTGTTGGCGACCACGCACGTCGAAATCGGCGCGGAATAGACATTCAGATAGACTCTTATCATTCGACCTCGCGACGTGGTCATTCAAATGCAGTTAAATTTTATTAAGTCTGACGGCAATTCTGATTATTACAATTGCTTATAGAACATTACTGCCGGGCATCCTGCCTGCACATCGTAGATTGTTTCTTGGTGGGGGGGGGGGGAACAACGGTGGATGAGTCAGGTAATTAAACATGAAATTGAATACTAAATAAATCAGATGATTGGATGCTTATAAATGCATCTTCTCGACAAAACCACTTCCAGTCTAAATTGCTGCCTCAGTAAGCTTCTCAAAGGACTCCTGTCTTTGATTAAGTTGATAAAAATTGTCTTTGATAGTAGGCTTTATAAGGCAGCCTTCAAAAAGTCTACCGCATTTCGGGCAAATTTGGTAGTCTTAATCGCAGATGAGACTCAGGAGTTTGGTGCTCGAGGTCTAAGTGAGGTTTAAATTCCATGCCCGCAGTCTGCAGGATCCAGCAGAAATTAAAACAACAGTTTAATACGTGTTACCTTTGATAGTCCGTAACCTAGCTTTGGTGATTTAAAATTTCTGGACTAACACGTGTGAATATCGCAGAAAGAGGGATCTACAGACATGTTAGTGATATAAGAGACTAGGTAAGTGATCTAATCAAAAACATTAAGATGCATTAATTACGAATCATTACATCAAAGCACTAGTTGGGCGGCAATGACGATTAGGTCTTGTATCATTAAACAGCATTCGCGATTTGAATATTCGGGTAGTAGCATTGTATTCAGAGACAAATTCGGTTGCGCTCGCTTGTCATTATTTTGAGGGCGCCGGCCCGTAGTCAGAAAAACAGAGTCAGAGGATATATTGTGATTGTTTCGGTAGACCAGGTCGTTCGACAGAGCGGATACTGGCAGACAAATTATTGACGTATGAGGGTTCCCTGATGAAGGGGAAAGGAAGGGAGAACCGTGGTCGGGGAAAGGGGGATGGTGGGGACTAGTGGACTAGTGGGACCGGAGGCGGTTAGATTAGATATCGTTCACATAATGACACTGCGTACTCTGATGCCCAGTAAGACATTTATTATTGTGTTTGCTGCATAAATCAATAATTAAACCAAAAAGCTGTTTTAATGAGAGAAGTGTTATTTTGTTGCCCATGGCACAGCATATTCAGTTTAAAAGCAGTGTTTGTTTACATAGTTTTTGAAATAACACAATTGCCTGATGTCGTAACGTTGGGAACATGTTTGAAAACGTTCGCTGGTTTATCATTTATCTGCAGATGTTTAAAGAACGAAACAACTGTCATCTACCCTGAATAACATTCAAACATTAGTTATGCACTCCAGGCCTAAACAAAAAATGCGCCTAAAGAAATCCGGCGGTTTTCAGCCGTTTAAAATGTATATGCTGAGCTTGCATGGGATAATATATAATGTTTCAATTTCTGCGATTATTTTGAGGGTCTCGAAATTCAAGCACATAAAGGCTAAACAGATACGCACTTCTTTGTAAAGTACAATTTCAAAGGACACATTTATGCTAAATCTTTTAATTAAATATATGCTCGTACTTATCCGTTTTTAGCTCCTAAGAAAAAGAAACGCTTAATTCTCCACAAGCAGTCCGATCATTGATAGTGCTCATTTTTTCAAAAAAAGTGGTAATTACAATCTCAAGAGACGAGAAAATCGCCGAATCCTTGTCATTTTATGCCTTAGGTATGGCCCTGGATTTTGCGGTCTGTTGTCATTCAGTCAGCCCATTTGATTGGTCGAGGGCGCTGCGTGGGATGACCAATCGTAATCACCTTCGCCAATTTCATTAGTTGCTCACTCCGCGCCTTTTCCTTCATCATTTGCTTTCCTAAACAAGCCACTTCCAAATCATGAGGACAGCCTGGAACAGCATCAGTTGAGCAGCATGGTGGAAGCCGAAAACCCTCACTACGTCATTGAAGTGCTCCTGAGTATATACACAAGTCTGATTCTAATCATCGGTATACCCGGCAATGCCCTTAGTGGTTTCATCCTCAGTACGGACAGAGCTCTACGGAAAACGACGCGTTTTCTCATGGGCACTCTTGCTGTGGCCGACACTATAGTCCTTCTTATAGCTGTAACCCGGTACTGGGTCAATGTCATGTTTGACAAGGATCCGCGTGATGCCGGCGAGTTGATCTGTAAGACGCATGTCTTCGCTGTGGCCTTTTCTACCGACTTCGCGGTGGGCGCATTATGCGCCGTCTCAGTTGAACGATATTTGGTTGTCGCCTTCCCACAGAAAGCAGCCTCAATTGTACGTTTACCGTTTGTCATTCTGGGAATGTTCTTGTTCGCCCTGTCTGTGGCCATTAAAAATGGCATCCACTTTGTCATCATGGGCAAGTGGCTATGGGCTAACAACACCCTGCTGAATTCGTCTTCGCCGGAAGCCACCAAGGCGACAATGGTGTTTGTCTGCAAGACGCACGAAGACTACGCAAATTGGACGCGTATTTTCATGAAAGCCGACTTCATCAGCTTTGCCATCCTGCCCTACGTAATTCTCTTCTCATGTAATCTGTATATTTTTTGTGTCCTGCGCCGTCAGAGGAGACTACTGAATAACAGCCCTAATGCTGTCGTCATTAAGGTGCCTCAAATAATTGTAACGACACCCGGGGAGTTACCCGAGGACGACTGCGAAGCTAAAACCCATGTCAAATTAAGTATTGCCGGGAATGAACAGACCTCCTTTATAAAGGCAGATTCAGCCGCTCTGAGTGAAAGGAAATGGAGATGGTTCCTTGGACTGACGCTGCCTCGAAAAATGTCAAAATATGAAAGGAAAAAGAGAAAACCGGAAGATGTGATAAAGGTTCTGACTGCGCTTACTGTTGTGCACGTGTTTTGCACTCTTCCAGGGACAATATTCACCCTCCTCTATTCCTACTTTCACGTACTCCCGAGTCTGGACGAGAAAACGAATCGACTGATCAAGTTCTTTCTCGTGATGATCATCTTTACTAACAATGCCATCAACTTCTTTGCCTATCTGGCGTCCAGCGAACGTTTCCGTCAACGCGTTTCTGAACTTCTTTGCAAATGTTTCAAGGGCGGATTTACCTGCAGGCACGGGAATGATTGCGCGGTCATGAAGGTGCGATGACGAGACTGACGGGCTATCAAACCTGTGACCAGCTTACATTATTTTCTCCCTCCCCGCTCTCTCTCTCTCTCACTCTGATCTTCCTGTGATTTGAGACAGGTCAGTTATTTTGAAATATACAGGGAAATAGAATAAATGCAATACGTATAGCTATGTTCAATGGTTGATTTTTTTGAAATTTGAATGCTAGAAAGCATATATATATATAGACTGGGACGGACAAGAAGGTGGAGTAGTTCTCGAAATGTGATCTTTGATCGTCTGACGTTTTGCATCTACGTGCGGCCGCATGCTCACACACAGAAACAGGTAATGGGGGTGAATTCACAGAACTTTAGTTGTTATTAGGTGTGGCTGCCATATCGACAAATACTCATCCTAGTCAACAGTTCTTGTTTTTGTACTGGGTGCTTTAGTGGACTAGCGACAAGAATTTCGTTCGTTACCGCTGAGTTTTTGTCATAGGATTCAATAGGTGACATGATATACACAGCTCGCTAGTTCTGCCATTGAAAGCAGTGTTTATGTGCACGCTACGCGCACCCCAAGTGAACCGCAGGGTGCATGCGGAGAGTTGAGTGGTCAATGGGGGCTGCCGAAGCAGGAGGCTCTAAGGAAAGTTGCTGTTGTCCTTCATGGTCTTTGCATTTCGCGCGAAATTCGGTTTAGTCGACCGCAGAGATCATACGTAAGGAGTTTGCTACGATCGTGGCCTGTTCTGTTAGTTTCTGTTTCTGTCACTTCAAGAAAAAAGTGGACAGCCGTTCAAAATTATGCGCAGCTTTGTTCGCTCAAGTTGTTGTCACACTTACCCGCGCACCTCATTACCCTCAACTAGATCAAATCTGTTGGAACACATAGAAAACGGAGCATGCCTCGAGAGGCGTTACGCATGCCACGAACGTCGACACCGTCAGCATTGATTCGACGAAAAAACCATTCTAACTTTGAGACCTCGAAAAGGTGAAAGTTCGGTACTCTTAGGGGTAACTCTAAGAGGCCCTATCGCGCAACCTATCTTCTGAACCACGCTAAGCGGTGAATGTTTAAGCAGCAAAAATTACTACCAGTCATCGGAGTACTTTTTACCCCACGGTGGAGATTGATAGGCTAGATATTTCAAACTATGTAAATTCGAGTGGCAGTCTCCGTCTGCATTTTTGTTTCGAGGTAATAAAACACATCAGTAGCTTAATAAACAGTTATTTTTCTTTTTTAAAAATGCGCTGTATACTTTTCCTATAAAAGACTAGTCAGATCGTGAAGCATTAAAACGGAGAGATAGCCGTCCGGAAAAGTGATCGAAATGCGGATTGCAGATACAAGCAAAATTTGGGAGTTATACAACCACAAGCGATTTCCCTCCCCACAACAACCACTGAAAACATGCGTCCTTTTCGAAATGCCAAACAACTCAACCGAAGTTGTTTTGCCTAAAAAAACGTCGCTATACCATGAAGGTGGTCATTAAAGTCACGGGCAAGAGTTGTACTTCTCTTTTTTGGTTTCTACAAAGGTCGCTGATGAGAGGCGGGACGCCCTTTTTTGTCTTTTATCGATAATAACTACTTACGAGCACTGGTAACATCAGAAAGCTACTTTATAGTGCTGTTTACGAAAAACGGACTGGTGCTTGTAATTTAAGGCTCAGGTTGCATCCATGAGCCACATTTACCTCATCTAACGAGAGGCATCGGCAAGGCCTTTGTTGTTTTGGCCGTGGTAAACTTGACATTATTTTCGACTGAGTCTGTTCCCCGTCAATGACATGTAAACACCTCCATTGGGAATCTACTTAGGAATGCCTATTGTCCAGCAGTTTTCAAAGAACTTTTACATCTAACGAAGGCATTACAATGGGCTGCTTTTTGAACTTTGAAAGCGGCATTGGTTTGGTATGCAGGTTAATGACAAAGGCACAGTTTGCAAGACGCTCATAAGCAGGTCGGTGGATAAAGAATGAAAGCGCGCGAAGTTGACTAAGTTATGAAAAAAGCTTTTTAGTCTGGAAAGGCCTAATTTATAAGCAAAATACGTAGTCCACTCTTTTTGAGCATTTTTTTCCACAAGCACTGAAAGGGCCTTATACACCAGCAACACGTTTTATTGGATGTTGACTAAATAAAATCTTATGGCCTGACTTATCAGAGAGGAGTGGGGTAATGTGACGACGGTCACATTCTACAAATGAAGATATTACCAATAGAAGCCAGGAAACGAGCACCAGAAAGCAGGCCTGATGAAGAAACACGATCGCTGGTAGAAGAGCTTTAGTCGTCTGACGTTTCAGATTCCTGTACGGACCCATAACCAGTGATGGACTGGAGTAGTAATCCGAAACGCCAGGCGAAAAAAAAGCTCTTTTCCCAGCGATCGAGGTTTCTTCTTTCCAATGAACATACTATCTAAAGAAAAAAACGGAAAGAAACAAAACGCTAAAGGCAAACATTTTCTGGAGTTATAGTTGGCTGGTTTTTTCTCAAAAAGCGTCCACGGCGACTCCTCCTGGGAGGCAGTCACGTAAACTGACAGTTTGTCTGTCGCAGTCGACTTCTGTACATTGGGCACAGGCAAGAGTTTTACTTTTTCCATCTGCAAAAGCCGCTGATGAGAGGCGGGAGGCTTTTTGTCTGTCTTTTATCTCTACTTACTACTTAACAGCACTGCTAACACCAGAACGCTACTTTATAGTGTTATTTACGAAAAAACTGGAATTTGTGCGTGTAATTAGAGGCTCAGGAGGCATTCCGGAGCCGCGCCCACACCATCCTATCGGAGGCATCGGCAAAGCCTTTGTTGTATTGGGCGCGGTAAACTCGACCTCATTTTAAACCGGGTTCAATCCCTGTCAATAACATTTAACCACCTACATTGAGAATTTGCTCACGAATGTCTATTGTCGATTGTCCGGCAGCTTTTGAAGAACGCTCATATCTAACCAAGGCATTACAATCGCCTGCATTTTGAACTTTGAAAGCGGCATTGGTTTCGTTTGCAGGTTAACGACAAAGCCACATTTTGCAAAACGCTCATAAGCAGCTCGGTCGATGCACAATGTAAGTGCGCGAAATTAACCAATTTAAAAAATGCTCTTTAGACTGGTAAGGCTGAATTTATCAGTTTCATCGCAGTAATGGTTACTAATGACCAGATTCTGCCAGGCCAATCATAAAAGTCCAGTCTACTAAAGAACATAAGCAGATTTTGTTTCTTCAAGTACTTAAATGGTCTTATGCCCCAGCAACACCCTTTATTGCATGCTGAGTAAATAAAATATTATGGTCTGACGTATCAGACAGAAGTGTACTAATGGGCCGACCGTCACATTTCACAAATGAAGACATGAGTCTCAGGGAGCAGTCCTGAAGAAGGAAACACGATCGCTGGTACAACAGCTTTATTCGTCCGACATTTCGGATTCCTGTCCAAACCCATCACCAGCGATGGACTGGAGCTGTAATCCGAAACGCCAGGCGAACAATGCGCTTTTCCCAGCGATCGAGGTTTCTTCTTCCCAATGAACACACTGTCTAAAGAAAAAAACAGAAAGAAACAAAACGCTAAACGCAAACATTTTCTGGAGTTAAAGGTGACTGGTTTTTTTCTCAAAAAGCGTCCACGGCGACTCCTCCTGGGAGGCAGTCACGTAAACTAACAGTTTGTCTGTCGCAGTCGACTGCTGTTCATTGGGCACAGGCCAGAGGTCTACAAAGATCTACAAAGACCGCTGACGACAGGCGGGAGGCTTTTTCCCTGTCTTTTATCTCTACTTACTACTTAACAGCACTGCTAACACCAGAACGCTACTCTATTGTGCTATTTACGAAAAAACGGGAATTTGGGCGTGTAATTAGAGGCTCAGGCGGCATTCCGGACCCGCGCCCACCCCATCCAATCGGAGGCGTCGGCAAAGCCTTTGTTGTTTTGGGCGCGGTAAACTTGACCTCATTTTCAACTGGGTTCATTCCCCGTCAATAACATTTAACCACGTACATTGGGAATGTGCTTACAAATGCCTATTGCAGTTTGTTTAGCAGTTTTTAAAGAACGTTCATATCTAACCAAGGCATTACAATCGGCTGCATTTTGAACTTTGAAAGCGGCATTGATTTTGTTTGCAGGTTAACGACAAAGCCACATTTTGCAAAACGCACATAAGCGGCTCGGTCAATGCACAATGTAAGTGCGCAAAATTGACCAATTGAAAAAAATGCTCTTTAGACTAATAAGGCTTAATTTATCAGTGTGATCATACTAATAGTTACTAATTACCAGATTCTGCCAGGCCACTCATGAAAGTCCAGTTTGCTATACAACAGAAGCAGAATTTTTTTCCTCAAGTACTAAAATAGTCTTATGCACCAGCAACACCCTTTATGGGATGTTGGCTAAATAAAATATTATGGTCGAACGTATCAGACAGAAGTGTACTAATTGACCGACCGTCACATTTCACAAATGAAGACATGAGCCCCAGGGAGCAGTCCTGAAGAAGGAAACACGATCGCTGGTACAAGAGCTTTATTCGCCTGGCGTTTCGGATTCCTGTCAGAACCCATTACCAGCGATGGACTGGAGTAGTAATCCGTAACGCCAGGCGAACAAAGCTCTTTTTCCCAGCGATCGAGTTTCCTTCCTCCCCAATGAACAAACTATCTAAAGAAAAGACGGAAAGAAACAAAACGCTAAACGCAAACATTTTCTGAAGTTAAAGGTGGCTGGTTTTTTCGCAAAAAAGCGTCCACGGCGACTCCTCCTGGGAGGCAGTCACGTTAACTGACAGTTTGTCTGTCGCAGGCGGCCAGTGATTTGCGTGGGAATCGGTTTGTGGTGGAGGCAGATTTCGCAGCATTTATCGTACTCTTTCCTCCCTTCAAGCGCCTCGCTGCAGTGGTAGGATCATGTCAAGGCGACTAGAGGGAGACGCGAGCGCAGTGAATGACAAAACGCAGCAGACAGTTTACGCATACTGCACAAGACCTGACTAGCGCTGTGCGTAT